AATAAATTGTTTTGTTAGACTCTATCGATGAATTTCTTTCGGGAAAGTTTATTAATTGCAAGTTCGCACGAATCGTTTGAGTTTCGGCACTTGACGCTGACGAGTTTGCATAACGCTTAATATAAATGGAAAACCAGAGAAGTTTGTGCTCTCAATGTGTTGTCACGATGCATAATTCATAATGATGCTGAACGGTCGCGATCGACATTTCTTTTTGAATAAATTTAATCGAAAGTTTAGTGGAATACAATTTTCAATAGATCGTTATGTTATAATATAAGTATTATAAAGAATTGATAATATTTGTCTAATTAATCCTTAGTAATTGTTTGCTTAATATTAGTATTCCTTATTATTTATCTATCATATATCATATTTTCGCACATTTTAATCATTATCATCATGTATTTTAAATTGCAGTCTATGGTATATTATTTATTGAAAAAGTATCTATATACATATATATCTCTGCTAAGTTTATATTTAGAATATATTTTTGGAAAACCCATTATATTTGGTATCCCCTTAATCCTTAATTCGAGAAACATCACGATGCGATGTAGTGCGTTGTCATACGTGCATACGAGCATATTAAAACCATTGTTTCGACCGACTATTGATTAGTAATAGCTCCCCCGAGAGAAAGGGGCAGTTAACTCGTCTCTAGAGCTCTCATTTGTTCGCATGAAAAACCAATTTTGCAAATCGATTTTACATTTCGTGCCAAATAACACACAGAAGCGTTTATTCGATTTTAAACCTGACATTTTGTTTGACTATTTTGTATAATTTTACAAATAATTACTTCTTATCATGTTTTGAGGTAGATATTGTTATATTTCATTTCAAGAAAAATTCTTAATATATTAAAGATTTTCAGACAATATATCTGACATATAATAATACTAAAATTTATTTTTTATGAAGCTGAAAATAATGGAACAAACGATATAAATGTTCTTATCAGATGCTTCCACGATTTTATGTTCCTAGAGTTTTCAACGATGATGGTATTGCTTATTGAGCAAGATCCAGCGAAATACGGAATGGAATGCTGACACGGTGCTTGCAAGCGGCTTTTTCAACGCTAGTGCATTTCGCTGTATTTCACTTGGACGTTAACGATTTCCCGACGAAAACAAGATAATACGGACTTCACGACAAAACAATCTTTAACTTTGACTAATTAAACTGTTTCCGACAGGACGCATTGCAACAACGTTTTACGTTTTAGAAAATAAAATTTCTCTCCTTCTCTTTCTATCTATTGTGTGGCCAAGAATTAGTACGAAATATAAAAAAATTGCACCACATATGTATCCGTTGAATAAAAATTAGTACAATTATTAAATTATAAAAAGAATAAATAATAATAAGGCTCTGTAAGTATAAAACAAAATAAAACAATTGAAAGGCTAAAAGCCAGTTATATAAAGAACGTATAATTTAAAACATAAAAATAAAAATAGTTACAGGCACCGATCGGGTCATTCTCAATGTTACAGTAAATACATTATATAAAATAATTGAAACTCTAATATAGTCTTCATAGTGGTATTCTCGGTTTCTTCCTATTATCATAATGTTGCAAGTCAATAAATTAAAATAGTAAGATTGATCATTGAAAAATTCATAGCAATAATGCAGTAATAATCTAAAAAGCGACTGTTGACAAAGAAAAATTAACGTATATACTGTGTATTACCACATTAAAACTTTTTTGCGTTTTTTATTTATTGACTCTTAATATTTTATTTAATAAGGTACATTTTTTAAAAATTTATATATATTTTAATTCTATTATATAATCGTATTAAACAACTAATATAATGAAATAAGGGCAATGAGCCAATTTTCGTTAAAATCTTTAAATCAATCTAATATATTAGTTGTTTAATACTTATTGAGTTTTATCATAAATATATAATCGTATTAATTTTTCTTTGTTAACGGTCGCTTTTTAGATTATTACTGCATTACTGCTATGAATTTTTCAATGACTAATCTCACTATTTTAATTTATTGACTTGCAACATTATGATAATGGGAAGAAAACGAGAATACCACTATGAAGACTATATTGTAGATTTCCAATTATTTTATAATAATGTATTTACTGTAACATCGAGAATGATCCGATCGGTGTCGAAACGTTTGTAACAATTTTTATTTTTACGGTTTAAATTAAACGTTCTTTATTATACATATAATTGGTTCTTAGCCCTTCAATTGTTCTATTTAAATTATAAAAGTAAAAAGAGGAAAGAGAAGTAGTAGGTACATCAATTTAATCGGCTTGGTGGATGGATCCGAAATAAATTCTATTTTGGATATTAACAAGTAAACGATCATTAATTATGTTATGCAATAATGTTATGTAATAATGTTAAATATATTAATAAATAATTTTGAAACAAATTTTGTAATGGGAAATATTTCATATTCAATGTTAAATTAAATATATGCAAGAACATTGTTAAATTTGCATATTTATCACCATACATTAGTTGCGTATTAGTTATCTGATGAAAAATTATTATATGCAACGCAAGCATGATTAGCGTAATGAATAATTGCTTAATATCGAGTTAATAAATAAAGTATATAACAAAGAGTTATCAGTTTATTCGGATCAATGACGCACAGATTATTAACGAGGTTGCAATAAATTGGAAGTATTTTTTCTGCACCATACAGTACATTATTCTTCAAAACAAGCGAATGTAATCAGCTATCCTGCTGTGGTAAATTAATTGTATAACACATGATGAATAACAGATCAATATGAATAATCAATGACGTAAATTAAACCGATTTAAACAAATTAATAATTGAAACCAATTATTTGTGGTCTCGTTCTGATTTGCAAAATGCATAAAACAGAATCGTATGTGCGTTTTCACTTAATCATCTTAGAAGGAACGACATTCAGATGCTGCTTACAATGTCACACGTAATTTAACATTATTACGATGCTGGGCGACGTAAGATATGAGCGCGAATTACCACGGAGAATTAAGACGAAGAGGAAAATTAAAGCAACGCCCGCATAGCCAACTGCTACTCCCGTTAATTGGCAAATACGTTATCAAGGATATACAATACAAATCTAAATTGGTTGTGACTATTGTATTAAGTTTATGAAAAAAGAGATATATATACTACAGGAAAAATTAAAAAAATTGATAATTACAGAAAAAACACTCGATGAAGTTAACCCGGTTATACAACAATAATTTTACACAAATAAAGATTTTAATATAATATAACGTTCAACAAAATAATCTATTAGTTCATAATTTCAATATTGTAACAGCATAAGAATCATTTGCATTTTAAAGAACAGAACGTAAAAATTATCATCTTTCATATGCAGACTCACCGTTAAATTTTGTCGAATCGTACACCGTTGGTCAACGCCAACGAGGTCAACGCCTTCGTATGTGCCTTCGTCTTGATTAATTAATCACGTTCTCGTTACGTGTACATTTACACTGAATTCCGCTAACATTATTTTATCAATTAGTATCTATCCATTATGCGCTTTTAATAATCCTTTTGCTTCTCTCCAAGTTGTTCACTATGAACTAATAATACTATTTAATCGTGGACAGCACATTTCAATCTTGCGTAATTATATCGGGATTAACACGATCCATATTCGATTTTAAACTATCGATTTTAATTCTCTCATTAGCTCCGAATTCATCGTTATTTACTAATTATTTTCACAGCGTTTACTTTACCAATTAATTTGGTTTTATGAAAATTTGGTATATAGTTTTACTAGCTGAGAAGATTATTTAACGACGCGCCTTTAAATTAAATTTTATTTTTAACAATAATATTTTCAAATGTGTTAAATACCGATTCGTGAAAAAATACGAGTTGGACTAAGCTAAGACGGAATAGACATATTTAATTGTCACTCTTCGTTTGTTACCAAGATCAGAATTCTGATAACAGAATGCGAACGAAGCGACGAACTTTCATCCATGCTAAGTTCCCGTTTATAATTGCTATAAGAGCTTCCGATAGTTATTATTATCCCTACTGAATCGAGTCTTGAATGTAATTTAGCCAGTAACTTCCATTTAAACTGTGAGACGCACGAGATGCGAAAAGAAGACCATTGAGTCAACAAAATTCCGTCACGTGGCATAAAAAACTAAATATTATTATATAAAATGTATTATTTCACAAATAGGTAAAATATTTTATTTCTCAATGTAACATTTTTATAATTATTAATATTAAAAATCAGAAATTATAAATGCCGCATTGTTTCATATTTTCTATTAATTTTATGATACCGAGACTCCAATTATGAAACCATGAAATTTAAAGAGAATAGAGAAATTAAAGGAGAGATAACAGAACATATTAGAGAATAGAAATTAAAGAACGCACATTTAAAAAAAACAGCTGATAAAAGCTTAAAAATACTGTATTTTAATTTTACTGTATTAAATTTAATCGATAACTACTGCCAAACTTTTCAATCATTATTATCGCACGTCGCAAATCGAGTTTCTAATGTAATTTAAGCGGGAAGTTACGCGAGAAGTTGGCGAACAGAAAACGAAAGGGAGTGAAAGAGAGTTGGTCGAGAGGCTCATAGGTTTGACACGGAGTAAGGGACGGAGTTGCAGGAGAGATGCGTCGTATCTTAAATTTACTTCGAGCACCTCGCCGCTGTTTTCCGATAATGGCGAACGCACGATCGGACGTCGCCATGCCGGCGTTTCTTTGACGCGAATTGCACAACGTCGGAAATTATGTTTGCATAATTTTCAATCTTGCGATAGAAACCACCGACGTATCGACGAGAACTCGCGCGATCACCGTATCGGAATACCTATCACATCGATCCGCACGATTATCGTAAATAATTGATTGAACCGAATGCCCTTTCATCGACCGATAACAAAAGTCGAATTGATCAACACGGATTCACATTTCGAAAATAAGTCGATTTAAGCCTACCAAATGTCACTCACATCTAACACATTTCTCCGTCATTTCCTATAGAAACGACAGATTAATCACGCGATTATTTGCTCGTCACGACTGTTCAGGATTATACCGCCTGCAGCTTTACATGAATCGAGACTTTGATTTCCTTGGAACTTGTCGCGCACAGAGGGTAGTCTCCCCGTCGTTTTCGACGACGGCACGACGGGAGTAGTCGGCGAGCCCTCGATCTTCACCACCCCTTAGCACGGACTGGGGGAGCGAAGGGCATCGCGTCGCGAATTGCACTGACACTCGCAGATTCTCCGTTTCCCGTAGAAGCTTCCAACACGAATCTCCCTACCCCAACGCGAGCTCTTACCCTCTTTCAACCCCCCCTCGCGGGCCATGGCTTTTAGCGCAAGCGCTTGTGCTTTTCCGCGGACTGCGTCCTATCCTAATTCACATCAACGTAAGCACGGTCCTGTCTAACTAGTGCGGGACATTGAGAATTTCTCTCTTCGTTACGTCATCTTGTGATTCCGACAAATTACGAGCAGCAGAGATTTTTTTCATTTTTTTTTTTACATATAAATCTTTTCTTTAAACGTTTGTATTTCGTGAACGTTACGAAAGTGCTCGAGATCTTTAATGAATGTAATATCTATGATAAAATTTTAATTTCCTTTATAATAGTCGTAATGAGAACATTTCAATCTCACGCTATAAAAAAATATTACGTTTAAAGTATTTCTAGAAGAATAATGTTCAATAAATAATTTTTCTGAAATCATAAGAAATTTTCTATAGTTTGCGTCCATACAGATAAATCAATAATTTATTCACAAGATGTAACAGAAATTCTATCGTTCACTAAGAAATATTATAGAATTGTATTTATTTGATGTTTCGCTTCATTCGATATTTAATATGCAAAAGCATAAAACTTCAAAGGTCTTGGCCAGTATTTGCTGGTTTGTGTACAGAATGAAGGTGACTGAATAATGTACATAATGATTAACCAAATGAGAGGCATATGTTGAACTGTAATTGATAATATCGCCAAAGTAAATCAATGCGAACGATTGCGGACCGTCCGTTTATTCGGTACAATTTCGCGGCAGTTGAACGGTTATTGACCACTGAAATATTTACGAGAATTTACAGCTCGCTAATATACGCTGAAAATAACGGGACAATGGCTTCAACATGATTTTTAATTCATTATCAAGTATCATCGTGACATTGCGTTAGCTCTGAATAATTTTGTTTGCAAGAGTAAATATCTGACACGCGTTACATATTTTGTTTCTGCTGTATTTATATCCCCATGCGTTGGTCTCTCTTTCTTCTTTTCTATAATTTTATGTCATATGATAATATTTCGAAACAGTGTATCAAAGGTGCAATAATCAAACGTATATAAATAATAATAACCATGGTTAAAGAAATTCTAAAAATATAAAATGCAATGTTCTCAAAGAAAAAGTATCCAAAAATATATTTATTAAGCGTTTATGATACGCAAGGCAGTTTGGTGTGCGTTTAAAAAGAGGAAGAGCGAGTGAAATGAAGAAAAATCATTGATAATTGGTCACGAGAGAGTACTGACATGAGAAATCAGTTCGTTAAGACTGACAAATTGAGCGTGACTGCGGTTGCAAGTCCTGGCAAACAGGTATTCTAATAAAGTGCCCCGAGGGTGAGTTGCGCGTTGCGGCGATGAATTTTTCATTCATCCGCGTCGGACGTTGATCAAAACTCGGCGCGTTGCTTGCGCACCGTCGCGTCAGAGGAGAGGCAACAGTTTGAGAATTAAGATTACCCTGGAGAGAGAGAGCGGCGCACGCTCGTCATATTTCGACGAGGGTGGTTTATTCGCCCCACTCGGCTTTTCGCTGTATCTCTCATTAGCTTCGCTTCTCTGGCGGCTTTCTTTCTCTCCTTGGCCGACGGTTAATAAAGCCAACTGTCCGAACCGAGCAGTTGAATTGGCCAAGTTTTAATTTCCTCGGGAACCAACGTGCTCCCGAGCAATCGTCGAACTTATCGTGGATGAACGTGTTGCGAGTTGTTGGCCGACAGATGAATTGCGGGCTGCTCGTTCGAGTGATAGTCGCAGTGGTCAAAGCGGTTGCGGTAGTCCGCGTGCGCGCTAGATGTGTAACACATTAAATTTCCATAAATATGTAGCATGACGCAGCAAATTTCCGCTGGGATCCACTCAGGATCTACATACCTGCATCCGGCGAGCTTTAATTTCCCGCTTTGTCAACTGTGTATCGGGATAATCGACAAAGTTATCGCGAATGAATGCAGTACCGGTTGTTAGCGAAAGCGCGAATCCCTCGTTGTCGGCATGATTGTTGGATTGCTCCCATGGTATTATCGCGATGTTTTACTTTATAGAATAATACAATATATAAAAAAAAGGAGCGGACGTAGGCGTTGTCAAACAAGAGACTGCTTTCAGCTCGTATCGATACATATGCATGTTACACAGCAGTTGTCATTTCACATTACGTATAAAAATTGCAGAATAGGGAAAGAGAATTTATATTTATTTCATTTTAGTTTACAATTACAACTGATAAGGAGAGGACTCAGTAGACTCGTTACAATTTTCATCTTTTTCTAACATAGTGAATTTACATCGAAAATAAGTTGTAGCGTGTCCGAACGCTTTAAACCTTGCAAATAGTACTTTTTAAAGTTGATAGAGATTCTCGAAATTTTAAAGAAGTGAAGCGATTGGAAAATAAGCAATGGAAAGTTAGTACGGTTAATAGTATGCTAAAATTTTTTTTGAAAAAATTATAGTACAATATACATTCTTTGAATATTTACGTTAATAAATAGAAAATTTTGACACTTTGAACCATCACGAAATATATGTATCTATATTAAATTCCTTTCGCGGTTTTAGAAATATTCATCGAAGCGAGGTGAATCAGCAATCAGTCCTTCAACTTAAATTTTTTAATGCATAACATGGTGAATAAAAGATAGATCATAGACCCAAGATTAAAGTATAAAAGATGATTTGGATAAAAGTACAAGTTTTATACCTTTAGTACACCATTGTTCAAAAATTATCTATTACTGAGACGTGTAATATTTTTTGCTCAGCACATTATAAGTTACATTACACGTAAAAACTAATTCATTTCACTAGGATTTAATTTTCTACACATAATTAGTGCAAGGTCTTTCCATGCATTAATAAATACTATTTAGAAAGTCCATACAACAAAAAATTCGCACACGACTTATCGATGTAGATTCACTATGTTGAAAGAAATCAAAATCCGTGACGGGTCTACTGTGTCCTCTCTTTGTGAGATAAATAACAATATTCTAAAAAGTTTATTAAAATATTTCCGTAGCATATTTTTAAAAAACTACTTGTCATTATCAGAAATGTAAACTTCCAGATTTTTTATACAAAAAAAGTAAAACTCAAATCTCTCGGTGCTAGTTTATAATTTTACCTAGTAATATCTCAATTTCAATGTAAGTATGTGCATTTCTAGCACACATCTCTCTTGATGCAAAGTGTTGCAAAGTCAACATTACTGCGAAATCAACAGAAAGGTCGGCGCAACCAGCGCGCCCGTAGTTTCACGAATTCCATCAGTCGCATGGAGACACGGTGCCAGCAAGGCAATCACAGCCACGTCACGGGCATTCGTGCTTCTCCCTACATATTTTCCTCTCTGTGATAACGAGGCAGCAGTGGCCCGCGACACGTTCGCTTGCTATAAGTTCGATGAACAGCCGAAACGAACGGCTCTCGACGGAATTAAAATTTGTGTGAGTCGGCGAGATACCGTCAACTGGTTTATCGGACAGACCGGTAATTGTTTGGAAAAATGAGTTTCCCCAAGAGCTTGTACTAATGAGAACTCTCTAATTGTCGTCAGATATCGTTAATTACATTTATTACTGGTGATAAATTGTCTTCTCCGTTAATCATATCGTTGTTTTTGTATAAAATACTTAATACTTACACTTATTATACAATTGAAATGATAATGTCATAAAATTATATCTAGTCTGAATAATTTTAAATCTTTCTTATAGATCGGCTCTTATATTTCGTTAATTTAATGAAAACAATGGAGTTAAACCGCAACATATGTTAACATAAATAATATTTACTTTGAAACTAAATAATTCAACCACAAATATGGTTAAAATTATAAATGTGGTTGTTTTTTTAATCACACGTTTTGTATTAAAATAATAAATTTGACACAATTAGAAGTTAAAAATAACGAAATGTTATTTAAAAAATTGGTTTAAAAATTCGATGCTTTGATATATATCCAAATAACACTTTTAAACAAAGAAACATCAATAGAGAAAAGAATACAACTTTCATGCCTATTATCAAACTTCTACATTCAAGCAATAAAAAAAGTTAGATACTCTTAAAAAACAAGATATATTGAACTGTTTTATATTTGAAAATTAGAATTTAAACAGACTCTTTCTTGTGCATCTAGTTACTCGGCATTATTACCGATCCCTGCATTATTGTCGGAAGAGCCATTATGTGTCTTGATGGAATTCACGAAACTCCGTTGGCAGCGTTCGCCAAAAGTACAGGGATGTGCTTTGCAACGCTCCGTAACAAATGGAACGATCTGCATGTAACGGAACTGTGTTTAGTAGCTGTATGTTAACGTGTGTTCAGGCAATCCTGCAGTTTGTAGCCACGTATTAGCATATAGAATTTCCTGAGTAAGGAATCCTTGAAGTATAACAGGAAGGCCCATTCGCGACTGGACGACCGTTCCTAATTTATGAATAAAAACGCGTAAAAAACAAAGAGAGATCGTGAGAAATTACCGTTCCGTGCGACAAACTTTGAAGTGAGATTTCGCGTAGCTTTCCTCAGCGCATTCTCATCAGAATTTTATTCGGACATTTTGCGGTTTTTTAGGATGCTCTTTCGCTTTGCGAATTGGTCGCGCCGCTGCAGCGTTGGTACGACGATTAAGTTGCTAAAGTGCGAAGTTTCAAAAGTAGGACGGTGATGTGGAACGTGGTTGCGCTCGGCTGAATAATTCGGGCTACGAAGAAGGGTGTAACTTACTTACGCGACGGTTACCGCAGTCTCAATTAATGTGCGGCATTAGTAAATTGATATGTTTTCCGTACTTAGCTTAGCGAAGCGCGCAAACTGTGGCAGCGTCGCCGCGAATTTGTAGGCTGAAACTGTGCCAACTG